GAATACACGCTCAACACTGATTTGTTGTGTCGATTCGAACGGGGGCTCACTGAAAGGTTCCCCGTCTGTCTTAAAACCTGGCTAATTTGGCAGCCCGCTTAATTGACCCAGAAAAGATTTTATGTCAAAAGCGTAACGTTCCGTCAAGGATACTTAATGGAAAAGTCCTCTTGGGTCATTCACCGATTTGGTTTACCTGTGTTCACCAAATTTTCCAGAACCATTGGTTTGGGGATGAAGGTTTGTGTGGAAAATTGGATCTAACTCATGTTGCATTTTGTACATTTATAAACAGACCATTTTGCTGATATCTGCAAACAGCCTCGTGTCATCTAGGCTGATCTAAGACAGCATCCACACATTTGCAAGTTCTACCCACGCCATTCTGTTCACGCTGTTATGCCCCTGGCGATTTTTACCGCATCGACCACCAGTCGCTGTGGTGCGAATTGTAAACCATGTCTCAGGATGTTCACATTTTCTAAATCTTTACTAGCCCAGTATCTAATGCATATCCTGCCAATGCCGGATCTTTGAATATCGCCTAGTATTCATTTATGTTTCTCGTTTGTCCAATAATGGAACGCTTATGCTCTGACGTGCGATTCCCTGGCTGTCTACAAACCTATTGAAACCTTCGTGCAGTCGTTGCATTTCATTTTATATACACAGTTCCTAGTCCTATCAAACGGAAGCCGATCCTTCGAATGTACCAACACCGAGCGTAAAGCCTTCCTCTTCTGGAATACTACTCTGATATTGGCCGTATTCAGTAGCCCTTTAGTGGCTTCAGATATCCCTGTTTTGCATGGAATTGCTGCTGTTCAGCAACCTTGTGAGTATTTTCCTTTATGAAATTGTACTGCGATATCTCGAATATCATGCCAACTGGAACATGAAGCGGCCTGGGTCCAGCACGTTCTTTTGAAGAAATACTATATCAGTTGATTTTCTCGTGAAGTCCAAATTGATTTTCAAATAGGTGTACTTCTCGAAAACAGTCCCATTCTGATTCAAGTGGAACTTATGTTTGAAGATCACCCTGGGACGTCTGCGTAGCGTTAGATAACCCTTGATGGACACTCGAACCGTTTAAAGCTTTCTGCTCAAAGTTTTCCATGTACATGTTTGTCTAAAGTGGGATATTGATGATCCCATCACTAATCCCTGTTCTCGAGAGTATATAGTTGATTACTGCGGTACTTGAGGGTTCATTTTCCAGCAGCTGAATTCGCCAAAGCGCCTAAGTTTTGGAACAAGAATAACAAGAACAACAGAACGAACAAGGAGTACGGCCCACTCTTGAATTAAATTGAATCGAGGCCTTCGGATCAGCGTTTGTTGGACACTCATCCTCATATGTTTTTGCTTGACTGGTTAACCGTCTCAGCTTCCAACCGGCAACCGGACTTTTCTGGCTTTCACGGTGTTTTCCCTGATGCGATCTTCGGGTGGTTTGAAAGTCTTAGTAGGTTTAGGGCTTTCGCGAATAAGTTTCAGTAATCCGGTCATCGTTACACCGGATTTCCCTAGTGTTCATTCCATTTGAAAGTAGGTGATTGATGTGGATCAGTTATATTGAAAATTAAGAGTCTGCATTATCTAGACCTATCGAAGCCATCGATCTAGACTTCCTCTGTAAGCATGCAGGCAACCAGCAGGAGCACCCTGCGGCGGCGGAAGATACAGTGGAATCGGTGTGGTTGTTGATAAGTTCAGGTTTTGCACGAATCCGTGAAAATCAAATTGTTATTCAAAACACATCAATTCAATTCACTTCCAGACCCCCACAATCCAAACAGTCTATCATGCCCAGGTGAGGCTTCCAAATTCTAAATTGTATATTCATTGATATAAAATTGGAGCATCAATACTAATCTCAGCTTTTATATGTTGATCATCAATTCCCAACCAAATTAGGAGGAGGAGCCACAGAAAGTGATGCAATGACGAGATTACTTCTACTTCTACTGGTTTGAAAGAGCCCATCCACTGAGTTTCATGAGCTTGATATTTCATGTATACTAAAACCATACACAAAAGTAAATTTCTCGGATTAAGGCTTTGCGTGACCTTCGGTGTCACTCACCTTGATCACCTGGAAGTGTAACGAAATCGACGATTTACGCAGTGAGTAAATACCAAGCTTTGAGAATCTTCCATTCTGAGTCCAATCAGTTTGTCAAGTCAAGCCATAACGCACTGCAAGAACAAACTTCCCGGAAACATAATTTCACTATGACCTTTTAATACAAAACATCGTATTGATGTCCCTATCCTATGAAATTGTCAGTAAAGGTACTCATAATCAAGCCGCTACGTGAAACCAGTTTGCAGACTCAGTTTGCTGCTCAGTACTGACTGAAGCGCACAGGCGCTAAATGAGCTGATCCGAATTTGTACTAGAAAGGACCAAAAATCACCAACGTGCCTGCATGCTTCGAATATATTTGTGCAAATGATCATCCATTGAACATGCTGATCAAAGTGGTTGATCATCCCTCGATTAGCATAAACTTTGTACCGCAGACTTGTTACATTTGTGGTGGATAGTTTTTCACACCATTGTCATACAATTGTAGGGCAAAGTTCAAATCACAGGAGGCGCGCAGTATAAAATTCCAGGCACACGAAGGTTCAGTTAAGACGGGATATGATGCGTCATTGTTCGCTTCTTCTCACGTTCCTGTTCTGCATCGACCACGTTGCATATTTGGACGGTGTCAGTGTCCACAATTGGTCATCCATATTCAACAACCAACCATCAAAGAACTGGGTTGTTTTGGTCGCTGGTACCAACACCTGGGAAAATTATCGACATCAGGTAGGTTTCTGTTGGTTTTTATTGTTTCGAGTCTCAAAAGATCATCTAAGTCCTGTATTGGTTTTCTTCAGTATTTCCCTGTCGTGAAGCGATATGTTTTGGGTGGTGTCGAATGTCCGGTACTCAGATATTACGAAGGTGCAAAGTGAGATTCACGTCAATCGGAATCCGACATGGTCACCCATAGGTGTTTATGTTGCGTTATGTAAGGTAAAATGACGGCCTGTGAATGGAATATATGGTGTTGTATCAACTTCGATGGTTTCCAAGCTACCACTAACCATCTGACCTGACATTGTAGCTTCATCATATTGGATGGACGCTCACGGGCCCCACACGACCGTAACCTAGAGTGACCTCCTGTATAAACCAGGTCTCAGAAATATCAACAAAATCTACTGACTTACCAATAACATCGGCCGTCACTGCGAAAGCACCGCGATTGCTGGACAATTTTAGCGGATAAATCTTTACTACTTAGTGGGATCAAGTATTTGGAATAAACATATACAAATCTATCTTGGTCAAATTCGTTCGTCCGCTTGTCTTTCACTTACGTCGGGTTATACGAGAATCGCATTGAAAATGTTACACATAATCAGTGCGTGTGTATCCATTTCTAAGAGTCAGTGGGTACTAATTTATTGCCACTGAGTTTCGCCGCAATATGACTATCTATCTAGTACACAAGGGAGCGACAGGTTCGGACGTATTTTCAATGCCAATGCGTACCAAGCTTGTACAGCTTCGGTGAGGAGGTGGTTGTTCGGACACTTGACTGAATGGGACACTTTGGTCCACATAGGCCCTTCCATAGTAGAATCATGCTTCCCGTTCTTGGGATAATGCATCCGAATTCTGTTTGAGGAACTGGTACTCCACCAGGTATGGATTATCCTACACACTCTGCTTACCTTCTTTAGCCTCCACGCCTCACTCTGCTTGTTATCCTAAATTCGCGTGTCATTTGTGTTCTCATTCAGGCGGACGTTTTCCATGCGTATCAAGTCGTGCGTAAAAACAATGTTCCACTGGAGAATATAATTACCTTCGCCTACGACGATATTGCAAGCAATCCAAAGTAAATACCGTATGAAAGTTTCGCTTTATGGTAACAAATAGAGTGTAGAAACGCGCTTTGTTGTTTGGCGTTAACATGTCTAACTGTCTTGCCGTATTTCTCATGTAGATAATTTTTGAATTCGGGTTGCAGACATTTATGAGGTTTTATGCGTCACTTCAAATGTCATATCAGATTTTCTTTCGGTTGATGCGTTTTCATGACTGTAGACGCCATATAAGCCTGATGCAAGCAAAACATTTGTATGATGATGATTGAGATGTTGATACGTATTCGTTTGAGAACACGTTTGCGCAGCCTAAAATGAAACAAATTGATATCTAGGTGTCGATTTAGTGCATCCGCCGGCTTATGATTTGGAGCAAAGCAGACAATTTAGTAAGCTAAACATTTTGTAATGCAGCCGAGAGGAGAAAAACCTTCTAAAAGCAATAAAAGTTAGTTCTTGCGCGGGGACTGTTAAACTCCTAAGTGGTTTATTGCCAAATCGTTCATTCGGCTCTAGCATCTTTAAGGTGCCTAGCTGGCATGACACACGAAGTACGTGCGAGGCCTGGGATACTGCCAGGATTCCCAAGCCTCCCAAGAGTTCGAGAATCTTCCATTCTGAGTCCAATCAGTTTGTCAAGCCATATCTTGACGCACTGCAAGAACAAACTTCCCGGAAACATAATTTCACTATGACCTTTTAATACTAAACATCGTATTGATGTCCCTATGGACCAAAATTGTCAGTAAAGGTACTCATAATCAAGCCGCTACGTGAAACCAGTTTGCAGACTCAGTTTGCTGCTCAGTACTGACTGAAGCGCACAGGCGCTAAATGAGCTGATCCGAATTTGTACTAGAAAGGACCAAAAATCACCAACGTGCCTGCATGCTTCGAATATATTTGTGCAAATGATCATCCATTGAACATGCTGATCAAAGTGGTTGATCATCCCTCGATTAGCATAAACTTTGTACCGCAGACTTGTTACATTTGTGGTGGATAGTTTTTCACACCATTGTCATACAATTGTAGGGCAAAGTTCAAATCACAGGAGGCGCGCAGTATAAAATTCCAGGCACACGAAGGTTCAGTTAAGACGGGATATGATGCGTCATTGTTCGCTTCTTCTCACGTTCCTGTTCTGCATCGACCACGTTGCATATTTGGACGGTGTCAGTGTCCACAATTGGTCATCCATATTCAACAACCAACCATCAAAGAACTGGGTTGTTTTGGTCGCTGGTACCAACACCTGGGAAAATTATCGACATCAGGTAGGTTTCCGTTGGTTTTTATTGTTTTGAGTCTCAAAAGATCATCTAAGTCCTGTATTGGTTTTCTTCAGTATTTCCCTGTCGTGAAGCGATATGTTTTGGGTGGTGTCGAATGTCCGGTACTCAGATATTACGAAGGTGCAAAGTGAGATTCACGTCAATCGGAATCCGACATGGTCACCCATAAGTGTTTATGTTGCGTTATGTAAGGTAAAATGACGGCCTGTGAATGGAATATATGGTGTTGTATCAACTTCGATGGTTTCCAAGCTACCACTAACCATCTGACCTGACATTGTAGCTTCATCATATTGGATGGACGCTCACGGGCCCCACACGACCGTAACCTAGAGTGACCTCCTGTATAAACCAGGTCTCAGAAATATCAACAAAATCTACTGACTTACCAATAACATCGGTCGTCACTGCGAAAGCACCGCGATTGCTGGACAATTTTAGCGGATAAATCTTTACTACTTAGTGGGATCAAGTATTTGGAATAAACATATACAAATCTATCTTGGTCAAATTCGTTCGTCCGCTTGTCTTTCACTTACGTCGGGTTATACGAGAATCGCATTGAAAATGTTACACATAATCAGTGCGTGTGTATCCATTTCTAAGAGTCAGTGGGTACTAATTTATTGCCACTGAGTTTCGCCGCAATATGACTATCTATCTAGTACACAAGGGAGCGACAGGTTCGGACGTATTTTCAATGCCAATGCGTACCAAGCTTGTACAGCTTCGGTGAGGAGGTGGTTGTTCGGACACTTGACTGAATGGGACACTTTGGTCCACATAGGCCCTTCCATAGTAGAATCATGCTTCCCGTTCTTGGGATAATGCATCCGAATTCTGTTTGAGGAACTGGTACTCCACCAGGTATGGATTATCCTACACACTCTGCTTACCTTCTTTAGCCTCCACGCCTCACTCTGCTTGTTATCCTAAATTCGCGTGTCATTTGTGTTCTCATTCAGGCGGACGTTTTCCATGCGTATCAAGTCGTGCGTAAAAACAATGTTCCACCGGAGAATATAATTACCTTCGCCTACGACGATATTGCAAACAATCCAAAGTAAATACCGTATGAAAGTTTCGCTTTATGGTAACAAATAGAGTGTAGAAACGCGCTTTGTTGTTTGGCGTTAACATGTCTAACTGTCTTGCCGTATTTCTCATGTAGATAATTTTTGAATTCGGGTTGCAGACATTTATGAGGTTTTATGCGTCACTTCAAATGTCATATCAGATTTTCTTTCGGTTGATGCGTTTTCATGACTGTAGACGCCATATAAGCCTGATGCAAGCAAAACATTTGTATGATGATGATTGAGATGTTGATACGTATTCGTTTGAGAACACGTTTGCGCAGCCTAAAATGAAACAAATTGATATCTAGGTGTCGATTTAGTGCATCCGCCGGCTTATGATTTGGAGCAAAGCAGACAATTTAGTAAGCTAAACATTTTGTAATGCAGCCGAGAGGAGAAAAACCTTCTAAAAGCAATAAAAGTTAGTTCTTGCGCGGGGACTGTTAAACTCCTAAGTGGTTTATTGCCAAATCGTTCATTCGGCTCTAGCATCTTTAAGGTGCCTAGCTGGCATGACACACGAAGTACGTGCGAGGCCTGGGATACTGCCAGGATTCCCAAGCCTCCCAAGAGTTCGAGAGGTAGAGTTAGGGATGGAACTACGGAACTTCCGGCCGGTAAATTCGCGTTTTACCCACTTGAGCCATCTCGTTTCCTGCACAATTGAATTACATTCAAGGGCACTAAATATCGATATGCTCAGGATAATCTACACTGGTGAAGTTTGAATGTAAATTAACATAAGATAATTACATTTTTGCACCAAATTTGAAATTTTCTGTTATGCGCTCTAGGGGGATCATTGTAGGAAACCTAAATTATTTCTTCGTAAAGGATTATTATTTAACACCCAGTCGAATTTGTGACAGAATTGCACTCATCGCCGTGAAAATTTATTCCAGAACAAGCCCGTGAACCCGATTCAAACAGAATTTATGAGCGTTCCATTTCGATCCATTCGACCTACACGTTAATTTCTCCCAAAGGACTCACTGCCCCATTTCAGATTTTTATTCCAGAAATCCGTTTAAAGGCAAAGTCTTCCATGACTACGACCACGTTGATGTCTACAATCATGTGATAATTGACTACCGAGGAAATGTAAGTTTGTGTTCTGGTGCACAGCAATCAAGTGAATTCCTCCATCATTTCACTGTGTACCTCACAGAGCAAGTGGAAATACACTGAAGATCAAAACAAAATACAATACCTTAGTGTATGCTATTTAGTTTTACTGTAATACAGAACGGTCAATCCACTTGAACAAACACTAGTCATAAGGTCATAGAGAACGCTCGAACAGCGCATGATCGAGTTCCACTTTCTGATCTTGGCCTATTAAGTAGGATGGCGTTCTTGTCAAAAGAACCACGAAATGTGCACGAGGAGCATTACTGCCCGAATAGCTTTCTCCAAGGAAACATCCTGTGATGTCCCGAATGATGCACCAAACAAACCAAGCAGCGTGTCCAGGACAGCACATTCAGCTAAAGCATATGACAGATAAGAGACGTTCATCTGTGATTTTAGTTGAATGCCGATGAGTGATACTCATTTCAATTATGTCGTATGCTGTGCGTGTGTTGCATGCCTTAGACACTGAGGTAGATGAGATATACTTGGTAGTGCTTCAAGGTCATCCGTGTTCAAATTAACTAATAACACTAACCTCGAGGAGCAAATCCACATGCTATGCTTGGCAAACAGACCAACAATCGAATTCTTCAGTTTTCAGCATACAGCGACTATTGCGGAATTAAAATGAATGAAGATGGGAGCAGATAATAAATTTCACTTATTTCTTGTGGTGAATGTGGATGGTTACTGGAAGGAGAATGATTGTCGGGAACATCACTGTCACAAGAAAAATTGGTCATGCGTGTCCATTCGTTTTAGGATGTTACACGGAATAACTTCGTGAAAGTATTAAGAGGCGATGAGAAACTTGAAGCCAACAAGAAGGTACTAAAAAGGTGAGTTGGCGCGGAAGAGGATATTCTTTGTGCACAGGGTGATCACAGGCAGAATTCAAGTTTTGCAGGTTACTGTCATCGGATTTACGAAATGCGTGTTTGGCATTCTCGTACATAATCTCTTTGAGTAAGCATCCCAGAAGTCGGTCAAAAGGATATGCTTCACTCCAGGGTTTATACATTTCCGATTATGGGTTATTATTAGATCAGGGACATCAATCTGCGCTGTACAGAAGTTTCAAAAATATTCAAATATGCGGAGTTTTGAATGGTCTAAAATCTGCTTGGTATTGTACAACTTGGGGTCGGTCGATCTTGGGTTGCTTGAATCCAGGATTTGTTTAAACGCACGGTGTTGAACAATGTAAATAAACACTGTTGTTTGGATGATCGAAATCCATGTCCACTGACGTCTTCGTCGGTTCATAGCGGTCCCTTAAATCTGTATCGCGATTCACCCCCAATATTCTCAGATTTGAGAATACCTCTCTCCCTATGTGGGTTGGTAACGTCAAAGTTGTCCTTTTGAACTTCCTCCCACGCCTTCTTGACCCACACATGACGAGACTGGAAGCGTCGGCATACGGAGACAAGCCAGGAGACGAGGCAAATAGTTATTCATTCGCAAACAATAAGTCACTGAACTGGTCATTTATGCAAAGTTTGGATTTGCACCTGCGACGAAATCCGTAATCAGCCGCTCTTTGTGCGTGCTTTCCGATCAACTGGTGTTTCGTACAGAGACCTGCGATGGATGTTTCCGTACATATTCCCAGGTTTCATGAACCGATCTTTTTCGCTCGCAGCTTGACAGGAACTCCCTTGGCTTAAATTTTTTTTGAACACTGATTGTTGGGCCACCAAGTGATAATAGATCTGTATCACTTTGTTTGATATCGCCTAGAGTATTAGGTTTTCGCTGCCTGTCACGGACAATTTATCCTGTTGTGGCGAACTAGTTTTTTGCGAAACCACATTTTTAGACAGAATATTTCGTTGGGCATATTCACAAGAGATATTTCACTTGAAATTTGTGAAGCCAAACCTTTGTATTTTGAAACTTGGCCAACGTTGTGCAAAACTTTATCTTAGATGAGCTCCACGGTATCATTTTCTGTCAATTTTGCACAATCTTGTTTGCTTTTCTGCTTAAATGATGAACAGAAAGGTGGCTAAAAGCTTTCCCAATACTAAGTCGAACAAATTCATTTTTTTCAGATCCCGTCTGTTGTTATTTGGGATAGAGAATCAAATAGAGGTGGTCCATAGAATAGGTGATCAAAGGTGATAAACTCATCTGCACAATAAACTAGTTTTATCAACTGGAAGAGCGTTCGCGAAAACAAACTCCGAAAACTCGGGCTACAGCAGAACATCAATTCAGAAACAACCAACCAAAATGTATTACCGAAACCAGAATTCGGAGTAAGAGCCAATCGATTGTGGAAAGCCATAATGCGACACAAGAGAAACCGGTAACCGATGAGTCAGTCCACGGATAAAACGGCCTTCAGACAGAAACTAATTAAACAGCAATCGAGTTCAGAGGATGCAGGACACAACGCAGCACCGTTCGAAATCGACCATTTGGACCCCAAGAAGTGTATGCTCCCTTCCGCCAGTCACAGCCATATAATATCAGACAGGTATGGAGCAACTTCCAACCCAACCACTCACTCATGATATCACTTCGGTTGGTGATGAAACATTTGCAAGCTGATCCCTACGAGCAGACAGTGGATGAACATCATCTTGATCAACGACCAACAAACTGAGCATTTATAGATCAGTTTTAGATAAAAACATGTGGCTTTTTGGATATCCATGTTAAAAATATAGGATCGCTCCACCTTGGTCATAATATTTTTCCTCAGTAGTGTATAGATTATGTAGATATTTCATTAAACAGATTTAATCATGCCAACAAGAGAGTGTTTTCAAAACAGCTGAGTGTGTCTGTTTCAACGGCAAAATGAGAGAACAAGCTAACTTGGAAAACTGCTACCAACTGCTTCAAGCATTGAAAACCATTGGAATTAACCAACAGGCGTCCAAAGAATCAGATTTTTTATCCCCGTATTCACGTAGCCATGCAAATAGTCGATTACTGGATGTCACTTTAGCTACTGATTACATCCAGCAGCGTGTATAAAACAATATTCCGAAATACGTGTTCGCCATCCTTCCATTTGCGCGGGTTTTTGTGGTGCTTTCCTATGAACGATAGCGCCACACAATGAGCTACTCTACAAGACCACCTTAAACTTTCTACCCACTAACAGCGGTCCTGATGACAACGTGTTCATTTTCTTCTCTGGCCATGGTGGGACGTCCCATATTGCCTTCCTAGGAGAATACGTAAGTTAAGTAAATTGTGGTTTCCACGGTTTAAGCACGCAGTTTCTTAATCGGAAGCTAAATAGTGAACGCATTGGGAAGGCTTACGTAAACCTGTGTTGGCTCATTGATCTCGGTAATTTATTATAAAAGAGAGTTCATAGTCAAGCTATTCTACATATCAACGGAAAAATGGAACAATAGCTACGATGTTCGTACGTCGATCTCAAGAGTGGCATCCCCGGGAATTCAAGTTTGATAGGTCTTGTCAAGATGCTTTAAATGACACCGTCGCATAGAATTTGCTTTACGATGTTTCGGGTCGTTCGACTCACATGATTTTGCGGTCGATCCATTCATACTGCTGAGCAAACGTAAATACCGCCAACAAAGAAACTGGTCGTATACAGTCACTCACGAGGCGTAGATGATACGGAGAACGCGTCAGACAAATTTTTCCACGACGAGACAACACACTGCCTTTCGCTTCTAGATGAACAGCCCAAATGTTTAATATTATGATGAGGCTTTCATATTTCTGTATGAGAAACCATTCTTTGATGAATAGCCGAGAAGTGATGTACAACTGTTCCATGCTTATTGGGAATCATCAGTGGTGCGCTTGATGGATGCAACGTGTAACCGTTCGGCCACGAGCGGCCAACAAACAGCCTGATTTATCCGCACTAAGTCAGGACATAACGTGACTCATTCTTCAACAAAGGAATCCAAATCACTGGAGACCGAAGCATCGAGTGACTTATCTCGAGCTCACGAGAATTTTTCTCCTTGTCTTGCGACAGCTGTATGCCATGGAGTTGAACGATACCCTCGCCTACATGCATTCAAAAAAAAAGTTCAACAAATTGGTGCTGTACGTGGAGGCTTGCAAATCTGGCTCTATGTTTAAAGATGTTCTTCCTTCAAATATGGGAAGTAAGTAGCGTAAATTTCTTGTGGCTTTTGCATGGATCTTGTGAAGTAGCATCCAAAATGTCAATCCTCTATATGGTTTAAGAGAGGTGTTGTCCAGTAAAACAGAACGAAGTTCCAAGCTTAGTTAATACTTGTTCAATTTGCGGTCTCTGTATGGAAGTAACCCATGACACTACGCAAGAAGTTGTAGTGATTGCGGCGTCACGAAATCAGACCGTTCTCGTCAGTGGTCATTTTGCAGCGGGGGTCTACCGTAAAAAAATGCTTATACATTCACACAATTATTTAATTTTCACTGGCTGTCCCAAAAGCACTCAGATCGATGTCTCATTCATGAGAGTGTTTGGCAAATTCCGCCCCGTCTCTGTTCAAGTTTTGATGAAGTTTTAGGGAATGTCAAGGACTGCACCTCCCTGGTTCGCCGCACGAACCACGAAAACCATTCTGTTCTATCAATGAAATGTTAGCGAACTTGTGAGTAGTGTGTTAGTTCTAGACCTCTTGCAGCTTCCTTAATTATGTGAGTCACACGAACCGTTTGTCTATAATTTATCTCACCATTTCACACATTTTGATATTGACCAATGCCATCTCTTCTGTTGTCTGAACCCCGAAACCTGCAGTCTACGCGACAACCTCAGCCAAGGAAGATGAAGAATCCTGCGCTACTTTTTGTAGGGACCCGAAAATCGATGTTTGTCTAGCGAACGAATACTCGTTTATCTGGCTACTAGATTCGCAATACGTAAGTTTCAACAAAACTGTCGGTTGTGGATCGGTAGTCTGGTAATATTCAGCAGCTAGTTGTAGTCCAGTTGATTCTCAAAAACCCTTATTTTTTGTTTTCAAGCATGAAGAGCATTCATGGCAATTCAGCCACCAAGGCCATCCGCTGGCCCCAAATTGATCAAACCATTGGTTGTTTGTCCGAAATTTCTCACTATCCGCCCAATCAGAATCGTCCATCTTCTTGCTGCGGGATATGAAAGAGACTAACAAATGTCCGGTTGCCACTACGATAGAGACCACCTGTTTTTCACCGTGATTGTTTAACGAAGCTGCGAATCATGTCCTTGAATCGATGTTATTGTAGTTCTCGTTATCAATTTTGAGTCAGATCGCCTGAGTAATTTCCTGGAGGTGTGAGCACAACGTAATGACTGTGGTAGTTTAGCTCCAAGTAATTTCCCCATCCGTTTTGATTCCTTTCTTTTGAATAGGGCTTCAAGTGGACTTTGAATGCACGCAGGCAAGCGTTAATGTTGAACATGGATGTTGGCAGTGATGACGGTAATGATGATGATAACGATAATGGTGATGCTGGTGGCTCTCCTGAACGCCTTCGTCTCAATACATCTGTCGAAATGAACCAAAATGTCAGTGGCGTTCATGTAGTCAGTTTCTATCCAGATTGTCTGACCAGGTCTCTAATGTGTGGGTATCTCGCGTGTATGCCGTAAGCCAGCCCACGTTTTTCCTTCCCGTTCCATCATCCATTTCTTTCCACTACAAATCATTTACAGTGCTTGAACGCCATTGAATCATCAGTGTCTTCCTCTATTGTCTCCTGATAATGATGACGCCGATGATCCTTTGGGTGATGATGAGAATGGTGATGATGATGATGATGATGATGATGATGATAAATGATAATGTGATTCGGATGATGGGGATCAGATGATTGGCGCATCAACTTCTCTAGAAGTGTTGTTTGCGCATGTATAGTGTCCAGAAACAGCGGAGGGCTCACTAATTTATCACCAGTATGTGTCGTTACATACCTCGGTTGTCTCAACTCTAGTGGTGGTTTCACGGATTTGCCCGCACTGTATCCCCTTAAAATTGCGTAAGCTGATCTATCTGCTTCACACAGCTCCCTTTTGTCATTATCTCTTACCGCGTGCAGAATGACATAAAAAAGCGTACACTGGAGGAGCAATACCAGGCGGTGAAAAGGAAGACGGGGTTAAGTCACGTGATGAAATACGGTGACATGGTGAGTCATAAACCTACACGGGGTGATTCAGTTGGGTCACTTGTGGAAAGTCAAACTGTTATGAAAATGAGTGTATTTATCGAGATGACGGTTGCATTTCGTTATCCGTGAAAGGTGACGGTCACGGGTGAAAATACTTGATTGGAAACCTTAGGTACCATGGACAAAGTTCAGTATGGTTGCAAGTCCACACATCTAGTTATCCAAGCCTAGCCAGTGTCACTGTTCGGATAACCGAGCAATGGCTTTGGGCACGTTATGATTCATACGTTTGTATGCTACAGTACGAAAGGAAGTCGAAGCAATATAAATCATTTACAAGTAGCTCAGAGGAAGAATAGTTTTACATGATGACTTAAACTTCCATCTGGAAAGCAGACACTCGAGGATCCAGTGAATACGTGGCCACGTCATTTGGCTCTCCGTGAATGAACGATGAGTGATGCTGTGTGCTGTCCAAGTGCGAGCTAGTCGCACTGCAGATCAGTCACCTGTGACTGACCGGATTGTTACCGGTTCGTATTTGATTGTCATGGACCTGGACGAGCAAGCTAAGGTGATAATACAATGACTGATGACACTGATGTTTGTTGGACGGTTTCGAAACTGATGTACATTGATCTAAAGGAACTTTCAACACTAGCTCTTGAGTACTTAAGTGTGAAACTACGGTCGCACGATGTGCAGCTTCTTGATTTTAAGGAACAGGACGCTAGCTTGGTTGATAATTAACTGATAGTTGTCTGTTTACTGTGTATTTCAGACGATGGGAAGTATCCCAGTTGGAAAATTCCAAGGTCATTATGATCTACCGATGCACCGGAATGACGGGGCGACAGCAGTATGTGTTAAGCGCAATATTCCAATTTTTAAATTGTCTATTAGAGAAGACATTTCTTACGCATTGGATGGTTAGATAGATAGATAGTTAGATAGATAGATAGATAGATAGATAGATAGATAGATAGATAGATAGATAGATAGATAGATAGATAGATAGATAGATAGATAGATAGATAGATAGATAGATAGATAGATAGATAGATAGATAGATAGATAGATAGATAGATAGGTAGATAAATAGATAGATAGTCTGATAGATAGATACATAGGTAGAAACATAGATAGGGAGATTGATAGATAAACAGACAATCAGAGTGACTAACTGACAAACTGACTGACGGTCGGACAGATAGGCAGAGAGAGAGTAATATGTAGGTAGTCTCGCATTTGAATGAATAGCGGTCAGCCTGCATAAACACAGCGGAGCGAGCGAATCGTAGATCAAACACATGGAGCGTCCGATGATTATCTGTAGCGTGGTCAGTGATAATCGGGCTGATGTTGAAAACCCATCAGTCCAACAGACAAGCGACTGGACAACCGAGTGTAGTTCCTTCTTAATAGCGAGTAGTCTGTGAGGACAATTCTTCTAATCAGGATTGACAGAGCTCCTGTTAACAATAATTGTTGCTCAATTATTTTCTTGTTTCCAGGCGCATGTTGTAGATAGAAAGCCTCCTTGCCAGGCGCATTTGTTTTTAAAGTCTCGACGCTTGATGGAGGCTGAAACCGAGGAGGAAAATGAAGTCGCTTGGCGAAGGCTGCACCGTACACTTCAGGTTCGTGTTTTATTTTCCTTCTCCAGTTGATCTCAATAAAGAAACCGATAAGACCGATATAAGATTATTTTAGGTAAGAGTCTATTTGTGTGATGGGGAATAGTTATCGAGAACGCATAGGAGCAGGTAAAAGTCATCAGTTCAATATTTTAGCGGCCGTGACTTAACGTGCGAGAAATTTGTTTACTGTATCGTCCACAACTATCCTTCTCGCTTTTTTCAGCTGGGATACATCGTCAAGGAAACGTTTCGCGACATCGTCTCAGTGATAACGGGCTGATGTTGAAAACCCATCAGTCCAACAGACAAGCGACTGGACAACCGAGTGTAGTTCCTTCTTAATAGCGAGTAGTCTGTGAGGACAATTCTTCTAATCAGGATTGACAGAGCTCCTGTTAACAATAATTGTTGCTCAATTATTTTCTTGTTTCCAGGCGCATGTTGTAGATAGAAAGCCTCCTTGCCAGGCGCATTTGTTTTTAAAGTCTCGACGCTTGATGGAGGCTGAAACCGAGGAGGAAAATGAAGTCGCTTGGCGGTAGATAGAATCCTTGCCAGGCGCATTTGTTTTTAAAGTCTCGACGCTTGATGGAGGCTGAAACCGAGGAGGAAAATGAAGTCGCTTGGCGAAGGCTGCACCGTACACTTCAGGTTCGTGTTTTATTTTCCTTCTCCAGTTGATCTCAATAAAGAAACCGATAAGACCGATATAAGATTATTTTAGGTAAGAGTCTATTTGTGTGATGGGGAATAGTTATCGAGAATGCATAGGAGCAGGTAAAAGTCATCAGTTCAATATTTTAGCGGCCGTGACTTAACGTGCGAGAAATTTGTTTACTGTATCGTCCACAACTATCCTTCTCGCTTTTTTCAGCTGGGATACATCGTCAAGGAAACGTTTCGCGACATCGTCGTGGATGTGACAACCCACCGTATGCCAACTGTAAACGGTTTATCCAAGAGGGATGAGTTCATGTGCTTCCGGGCAGTATTCGATCGATTCCTGACGCACTGCTTCACAATGCAGCAGGCAAGTTGCCCTCGTGGTGCTTTCATTACTAGCCAATGCATTCACCCACGGCGTAACGGAAGGCAAGCCTCATTCTCAAGATTACTCTTAGTTAAACGTCCGGCAAATGAACTTTCAAGGCTAATGTGGTGCTCATAGTTCAGTTTCAGTTCAGTTCAGTTCTGTTCTGTTCAGCTCAGCCCGGTTCAGCTCAGCTCGGTTCAGTTCATCTCAATTCAGTTCAGTTTAGTTCAGATCAGATCAGATCAGCTCAGTTCAGCTGGGTTTGAAACTACTCAGTACTGAATTCTTAACCAGAATACTCAACCACCACGAAATGTTGAGAGTTTGATGTTAGAATTTACACAAGACAGTCGTGAAGAGGGAATTCCTCGTTTGTGGAGGGTTCGTGAATTCAATATTTCTAAGAAATACGGTGAAGCACGATCCGGTCAGCAAATGTGACTGGAATCGTTAGGTTTGTTATTCAAAACCGCTCTAATTCTAGGAAAATTTACCGATCAAGCCGATGTCCAACCGATAGAAACCTGGAACAATTTGTGCGGTAAAACTGTAGAAAGACACGCCCAAGATGATACCCATGTCTAATGAACTCGGGTTAGTTCATATGAATACCTATGTTTTACTATGAATATGCATCGTGGTTTCCATGTTTTGATAAGCTCTGGTGATTCTGTATACGTTGGTATGAATGACGATTTTTTGATCAACAAGACCAGGTTCTTTGTTTACAAAAACGCGTTTGATTCTACCTGCAAGTAGTTTGATTGGAAGTCAACGGATGCCCGGCTATTGCGCATTGGGGCTCACTAGAGTCCGACCCCCTGACTGCCGGTACTGGGCTCT